GTGATGCCAGCTTGTTGAGCAGCAGCTACTGTCACACCCTGCCGGTGTCACCCTACGGGAGGTCACATTGATGAATGTTGGCGAAGTTTCCATTGAGATACGTTAACTTTTTTAACCTTCTTTTGTAAACACAGTGCTCAGGATTCTTAGGGTAGCCACGGACTTTTGAAAGTGCAATCTGCACAGACAAAGTCAAAGTCTGCAGTCTTGGAACTCACTGTCTACAATGGTCACCAGCTCCTGAAGGTCACCTCCTGAACATATCCTGAATCTGCTGTGTATGTTCTGTACCAGCTAAGCTGGAAGGTTCCTTTACATGTGCAACCACACAAGGAAATATTGGTCTCTAGGTCTTCCTCTGATACTTCCTTGAAATTGTTTTAGCACTTCCTAGTACCTAGTTTCCAGAATTTCATGCCATTCCCTGTATCAGCTTTCAAATGCTAGTTGAATTGGGCAACCTTGTACCCTGAAAGCCAACGTCTCTGTAGTCTCATCTTGGAAATTCCATCAACAAATGCATTAGTCAATCCCATATAAGGACACTCAAAGTTCTGCACATAGATTCATTTTACACAGTAAATTCCTCTGATATCCCATTGAGTTCTTCTCCTTAACCTTTGGATTCTATACAAATGTAATTGTCAATTAGCATACAGGCATAGGCATCAAAATAGAGTATATTTACTATAATAGAGATGGAAAATGTTTTAAAACAATGTATGATTCATCACAATGTGTTTATCCTGTGTTTAATTTTGGAATGTGAGTTCACCTGAGAATATAAAATATTTTACTCCTTGGTTTCCTTATAAAGTTAAAACATTTTTTCTGGGCGAACATGCCATTCAGTTCTGAAAGCACATCTGCCAAACAGGCTGTCTCAGAAGCGGTTTGCCTGATTTCCTCCATTACTGATCTTTCATCACGGACTGAACAGGCTTTTAGGCCTTCAGCAATAGAATTAATGAATAGTATTACGTTGCTCTATTGATTTTCTGGTTTTTAAGCTGGTGATGTATTATATCGTTGCATTTGAACTGAATAAACTAGTGGCACACATAAATGACTGCTTCAAGTTGAGAGAAAATCATACTGTAAGGTTCCTGGTGAAGGTCTGCAGAGATTTTTTGTGCTAATCCTAGATCTTGCCAAAATATTGTGACTTCGTACAGGTGTTTTTGTGTGTGGTGGGAATATAAGCTGAGACATAAACTTATGCTTCACATGAACTAATCTTGTGGTCGTTACTCCTTTCTGCTGACCTCCATCAGACACAAACTCACGTGCAATATGCATGTAAGAGGAAAATGTTTCCCTCTCTGATGCAGACTGGTTCTTATCTGTGTCCTCCTGGGACCTCTCTGTGCTGTGGCCCACAGGTTTGGGTACAAGTGGAAAGAGAAAATCCTGAAACTAGGAGACATCCGTCTCTGCTTGGAAACAGCAGTTTGCAGGGTGCTTCTGTTATCCAACAATTAAGGGGTTAAAATTTTTATATAAGAATTTCATGAAGGGTTTAAGTAGGCACTTTGCACATATCTAAAGAACTAACAAGATGATCATCCTTGAAGCTGCCAGAACTGATTAGAAGGGAGACTCTTATCAAGAACTGTCTGCCCTTGAAGAGTATCTCCTAGAAAATGTATAAAGTTTGTTGTCATGTTTTTCTGAGCTGTCAACATGCGCAGTAGTGACTTGGGGAAAAGGTAATTCCAGCAGAGGAAGATGGCAACCACCGACTCGTGGACCACCTGCCCTAAACATACCCCAGACCCAAAAGAAAGGGGCGGAGGAAAAGACCTGAGCATGTGAAGTAATTTACATGTAAAGCGAGACAAAATTAACCAATTGTTTAAGAAAATAGCAATGAATATGTAAACATTTTATGAATATGCATAATTGCAGTGTATAACTAAGTTTCAGTCCAGGGTGCATGCCAGGAGGAGGTATCCCCCGTGCACCCGGTGCTCCAATAAAGTAATGCCGCTTTCCAACACTGCAAACTGTGTTAGAGAGTTTCTGTCCGGATTTTTGGTGACACTTCGGTGTATGAAGATGCATGAAAATGTGTGTCTGGGGTTTGATAAGCAATTTTCACCATACAGGAGGCAGTGAATTGACCCCCACGTGTTTCAGCGGAGTCTCCCTCATCCGTATAAAAATATCCTACATCTTTCTCTCGACCTCATATAGAGATGCTCACATGGTTGCTACCTCTTAACTCCTGAAACACTACGAATTTCAAACAAACTTCTCGTTCTGGTAAGTTGTTAATTTGTTACCACGACTTGTGCATAGGCCCAGCTGGAGAATAAGAAATTATCCTCCACTGGATGAATGGCCAGAGTTAGCAGGAAAATATATTTTCTAACGAAATACTACTGAGAAGGGGAGGAGATCTTCACATTGGTATCTACAGAGCCCCGCGTCGTTGTGTATGTGAGAGCTTCTCCACCAGGTAAGGAATGTAAAGAGTTTTCTAACCTTTTCTTGTCTTCTGCATAAGGGGCTGTGGTGATACAGCCTTCCTTCAGAACTTTCTTTTTCCTCCACAGTAAGAGAGGCGAGGTTTTAATGTACAGGTGAGATATAACGGCTTTTCATGAGAGATCTGTCTGTTTTCTCTTGGTTTGTTCAAGCAACAGTAACCGCCGTCGACATTTGCCAGAAAATGTTCTTAAGGTTGGACCCGCTGGAGTAACAGCCGGCTTAGGAGATGGAATGTGGTTTGTGAGAGACATAGACAAGAGAAATTCGGAGTTGGGTTGTTTGGCACTGCTACGATGACGCTGGGTTTTGAATGTCGAAAGAGCTAGGATCCAGCAGGTTTGGTGTGACCGCTATGGTTTTCTCGGTGGCTGGGATTCCCGGCTATGATCGTCCATCAGGGACCACCATTCAAAGAGACAGTAAAATCAGAGATGGAGATCCTGCCCCACGTCCTCCGAGCAACGGGGGAGGATTTGTCCTGCAGAAGACTTGCAAGCCTAAAGACTTCAGACAGTTGCAATTCCTACAAGCACCATTTCAGCACAGATCCAAGTATTCTATTTCTCGCTACTGACAACATCTCTACTTTCCAATCCGCTTTTGAGTGCTATTTAAGGAAGTGCGTAGGACAGTGGCAATTCCTACAAGCACCGTTTCAGCACAGATCCAAGTTTTCTATTTCTCTCTACTGACATCTCTACATTCCAACCCGCTTTTGAGTGCTATTTAAGGAAGTGCGTAGCAGGACCTTTGGACTGTTCTCTTCCTCTCGGACTCTGCGCTTCTCGGGCACGGACTCAGGGTGTCACTGTTGGCCAAGGCGGAGAAGCGGCTCCGCCGTCCGTTCCTCCAAAAAAAAGTGCTGCACCGCACGGAGCAGACCGGAGACAGAAGCAGAAACTGCCCGACTCAGCCCGTCCTCCGCCGGGCAGCAGGGATTTCATGTATTTCTTTCTCTCAGGTACCGATTCAGCGGCTCGAGAAGTCTAATCCAAGATCGTCTGCAGAACACGCTTCAGCAAAGCAGAAAATGAAGATCCGAAC